GTGGGGCACCCTGCTTGTATAATGGTAGGGGAAACACTGCGATGTCTTCTTCAAAAGTCGATAAAACAGAGCCCCATCGATGCCAAACAGCAGAGTCCCTGCTATCATAAATCCAAATATATAAATGTCTTCAACATCCTCCTGAGACAGGACTGAGAGGCACATCATCTGCCACACTCCCCACGGGTCCATGACGTGTCCCACAGCGTGAGTCTCAGCTGGACACACAGGTTCTCCAGGACCTTGTTGCTTTGATGAAAAAATATGATCAATAGAGTTGAACGCCCACGATACCAGATCCATAATCTTAATTTACGATCAGGAGATGTGAACCAGGTGCTTCAGACACACAGAGAGCAGAGCAGGAGGAAAGACAGAAGCAGCCACCTCGATCAGAGACGGGGACGAAAAATAAACATAAAGACCAGTGAAAAATCATAAAGTAAGAAATAAAATCTGAACATTATTTTTGTCCTTGAGGGTGATAGCTCGGTGGTCAGTGGCACAGTCTCATCATTCTGTGTCTGCAGGTTCGAGCCCAGGTTAGGTCAGGCAGATCTACAAAGTACTGGAGGAAACGTCCAAACAACACCATTTCATACAGTTCAGGAGAACAGCTTTTATAATGAATTTCATAGACTTTTGTGAGTGCCTTTTATTAGTTTTAAGAAAATGAACTAAAGAGCAAACAAGACAATAACATGAAAACCCATAAAAAATAAATATCTTGTGAAAATTGTGTTTCCTGTTTTGTGCCTGAGGATCCGTTCAAAACAATACTTCACATCAAAAACTTTCACGTTTACATGTTTAAAGCTAGAGGAAAACACGTGAGGATGTTACAGCATGTAAAACACATTTGCACAAATACATTATAATGTTGAATTGTTATTTGTGTCGGCACAAGCAGAATTAGTATATGTCAAAGTTTGATTTGTGGCACAAATGAACTGAAGAGTAAAGCATGTACAGTTACATGTATACAGATGTGTGTATTTATATACACAGTACTGTGTACTCGGTGGGAACAAGCAACAGAACAGGTTCAGAGAGAAGAAAGATAAAACCTGGGTCGGTGTTTTGTTTCAATGAGATGATGAAGTAACGCACCTGGACCGGAGAGTGATTCCGAACCGAGTCTTTCGGATTTGGTAACCGAGTTCAGCTTGTATGTATTGATGCCACAGTACAAGAACTTTCAGACTCGTAGAACGCTTTTCTCGGTCTGCGAGGCGGATCCTGACGTCATCAGCAGGCTGGTCATTTATGTTTGAGGCTGGTTGCCATGGAGACGGAAGCCCGGAGACGTGAGCTTCCGGGTAGCATGCTAACGCCTTTAATGTCGGCAGGAAAAAAATAAACTAATACAGTTTATTTATTTTATACCATAATATAAAATACACACAGAAGAGCAGCAGTAAGATAGTTTAAAAAACAACAACAAAAAAAACAAGTAAGTTGTGAGAATGTCGCGAGACGCCAAGGGTGAAGATGCTGCAAAGGTTTCTGGGAATTGTAGTTACTTTTAAAATTTGAAGCGTCTGGGTTTTCTTCTTGTTATATTTTCAAATCCATCCATCCATCCATCCATTTTCTTCCGCTTATCCGGGGTCGGGTCGCGGGGGTAGCAGCCTAAGTAGGGAGGCCCAGACTTCCCTCTCCCCAGCCACTTGGGCCAGCTCTTCCGGGGGAATCCCGAGGCGTTCCCAGGCCAGCCGAGAAACGTAGTCCCTCCAGCGTGTCCTGGGTCTTCCCCTGGGCCTCCTTCCGGTGGGACGTGTCCGGAACACCTCACCAGGGAGGCGTCCAGAAGGCATCCTAAACAGATGCCCAAGCCACCTCAACTGGCTCCTCTCGATGTGGAGAAGCAGCGGCTCTACTCTGAGTCCCTCCCGGATGATCGAGCTTCTCACCCTGTCTCTAAGGGAGAGCCCAGACACCCTGCGGAGAAAACTCATTTCGGCCGCTTGTATCCGAGATCTCATTCTTTCGGTCACAACCCAAAGCTCGTGACCATAGATGAGGGTGGGAACGTAGATCGATCGGTAAATTGAGAGCTTCGCCTTTTGACTCAGCTCTCTCTTCACCACAACAGACCTGTACAGCGCCCGCTTCACTGCAGACGCTGCACCTATCCGCCTATTGATCTCATGCTCCATTTTTCCCTCATTCGTGAACAAGACCCCAAGATACTTGAACTCCTCCACTTGGGGTAGGACCTCCTCCCTGACCCAGAGAGGGCACTCTACCCTTTTCCGGCTCAAGACCATGGCCTCGGATTTGGAGGAACTGATCTTCATCCCGGCCGCATCGCATTCGGCCATGGCATCGGCTATATTTTCAAAGTTATTTTTTAATTAAAAAACTTTAATATGAAAATTAAGTTGTACTTTTAGTACTTTTGAAAGTTTGCATGATACAGCTCGTTTAGCCAATGACTGTGATGCCCTTTAAAATTGATTCTTTTTCAGAATTACATCAGTATTTTAGATAAAAATGATTAACGAGTTAAAAACATCTGTCATACTCATATGTTGACATAATTTCTTAATTAAATTAGCATGTTTCTATATGACACTCAGGGTAAATAATTGTATTACAGTAATGACACACGGTACTTCTCTTCTTGTAAAAATATACTTTAGACTTACGTTGGCCAGTGAGCTGACGACATATTAGGACTAAGTCCAGTCCAGCCTATAATCCAAGCCCAAGGCTTTTTGTGTCTTATTCACTTTGTCAGATTTCAGCCATTGTACTTTGTAGCAGAGAACGACATCATAGGTAATAATTTATTGTATGCAGTTTTCAACTGTCTGTTATGTACCTGTAAAAACATTCTTTACATGAGTACCTAGTATATAGTGCTTTAGTAGGTACTCAGAGTCTACTCACTTTTTCCTGCCTAGGTTGCCGCCTGATCCTATAATCATTTTTATTATTAGTTTACATTCAGTAAACCTCATAATGACAGTGAAAACAAAAATTCACACAACTTAGTACATTTCATAAGAAAAAAATACATATTTCCTTACATATGGATCCAGATATTGAAATTCAGCTCAGGTGTTTTTAGTTGATTCTGTACGTTGACCAAGCGCAGCTGTAGTAAATCAAATTAACGGAACATAATTTTGAATGGTGGGATGAACCTGCTTGTTTGGTCTCAGTTCTAAACAGCGTGTGGAAGAAACCAGCACCGTCCATCATCTACGCTCCAGTGTTGCCACAGTGAAGCATGACGGTGGTAGCATCATGCTGTGGAGCAGCCAGTCAGGGTGGAGGGAAAATGGACGGATTAAAACTCACACTGGAGACAACATGAGCACCTTAGGAATAACTGTAAATGTCTGATTGGACCAACAAGAGACCCCACAGTAACTTTACTGAACATCTCCATCAACACTTTCAACTGAACCGAGTGTGAGAAGATGTGCGCCTTAAAACAAACTTAATCCAGGTGAGTAGATGCACTGAGCCCCAAAAGACTCGAGGTTGTAAGTTAACTGCTGCCAAAGCTGCTTCAACATAAAAAGGGGTTCGAATACTTTTACATGTGTGATACTTTGTTTTTTATTATCAAAATGTCACAGTTTTTATACCAAGGTTGAGTCAGGTCCTCTGGATGGATTCTTCTTGTTGAAACGTTTTGTTTTAAACAAAAAAAGTCTTCAATTTATACAATTTTGTTTTCACTTTGTCGTCATGAAGCACAGAATGTGGAAATTTAAAACTGTTACATCAGGCTGCAACAGAAAATAGCAAAAAGTGAGGACATGCTTTTAAAACGTTCACATTATTAAAATAAAGTTTGATGACAATATCAAAAGCACGAAGACATTTTAAAGTGTGTACAGTAGTCCCTCGCTACGTTGCAGGTCCTTCTTGAGCATGTGATCAGCTGGTTTTGGTTGTCAGCAGCAAACTGGTTGATCCACTCTGAGAAGGTGCTATTTAAGAGACTGAGCTGAATACAGCACCTCAGACTGAAGAAGTCTCTTGGATGAGAGACGAAACGTTTCTAGATTTTTATTTTTTTGCTTTGTTTTGTTTTTGTTTTTTTGAATGTCCAGAGGACCAGATTGAACTTTTTTGGATTTTTCTACCTGGATTATTGAGCATGCATCAGGATACGTTGCAGTTTTTTTGCAGACTCGCTCTATCGCAGTTTGTGGCCGTACAGTCCTGTACATACTTTCCAAAACAAATTAAAAACATTAAAATGCACAATTTTGTTGTTTTCTTTGATTAAGCCTACACTTTTTTGCCAGTCTAAAGAACTACGTTACCCAGAAGCCATCAGTTCACTTCCCAGACGTCAACACCGCTTCACAACTGCTGCTTTCTGCGAATGGAGGGAAAGTTTTGCAGCAAAGTCAGAAGTTCTGTACGGATAAACTCACAGAACTGGCAGGAAGGTCCAGATAATCCTGAAGATGAACTCATCCTTCAAGTTGTGTCTTCACTGCTGAGCAGCTGATCTGAACTCGGTGTGACCCGGATCCTGCGCAGGAAGCTAAAAACTAGAGATATGACCTCTCCTACTAACTCCAGTCTGGACGTGACAAATGCATGGACCAGTTTTTCTGACGAGACGTTGCAGGTGGAAGAAGACGGTTCTGGTAATGCTTTAACTCAAGTGTTGGTCAGTGTGAGGCAGGTGTGACAAAACCAGCTTTTTAAATCATGAGACCATCCCGTGGCCTTCCAAGGTGACCATCTCTGTCCCATGTTCAATACCTGCCGAGACCCTTCAGTGCGAGGCCCCTCAGATTAGAGCTTTAATCTGGGGCTCATCCACTGTGATCAAATGACACGGAGCTGCTGTGAGAACTGATCCTGCCCGAGTCCTGAGCTCACATCAAGTACATCTCGTAGGATCGAGCTGTGCCAATACTCAGGTCCTCTAATGAAGAAGCACCACGTGTACCAACACTGGTAACAAAAGTAAAAATAGCACGTGTCAAAGTGAAAGAGTAAAAGAGCAGACAACACAAGTCTGTTTTATCTAGCTTTATTTACGTTGGTCTAGTCAATTCCTCAAAGAGATTATATATACAAATTAGTACATAAAGAGAAATCCCAAACAAATCATTTAGAAACACAACCTGTGGAAAGACTTGAATGCAAGCGTGTTTCCAGCAAGCTTCCACTTACTTGGAATCTGTTTTCACTTTATTTATTTTTTACTTGAACAAGAGAAGCTCATTTCCACACTCTTACTTTGGATCATTTCCCAGTTAAGAAAAAAACACACGGTGCCGTGTCTTAACAGCTACAGTAGAGAAAATACAACTAAAGAAAAGCTCTAGTCTTATTAATCAGCGAGGTTGAAAAATCTGGATCAGCAGTACAAAAGTTCATTTCAGTAATTTTACATTTGAACTGAAAAAAAGGAAGACAGTATTTTATCCAAGTTCATGAGGATCGTTTTTGTTGTTTTGATTAAAATAATTTATAAATGGATACTCAGCAGACTTTAAACTAGTTACTTTCTGTTAACGGTTCCCAGATGATCCCTGTGCAGAAAGTGGAATAATACCAGCTTCACCTTTTTCCAACAATGACTATTTAGCAGACAGATTCACATTGCACTCCCCTCACTCCCTCACGCCATCTACCTGGAAACAAGAGCAGAAGACGGGCCGGGACTCACTGCAGCACTTCATTGAGAGCCGTGGTGAGGCGTGCGACAGCAGCTTAACCTTCGCAGATCAAAGTTTCCACCACAAACGTGTTCTCGAAGTGGCGGATCTTGTGGCAGTTGAGAGCCTCACGCTTCTGCATACCTGAGGGAGGACAGAAGAGGGTTAGCTACGTGGAACAGCCATGTTGTTGGCTGAGAACTCAAACGTGCACTGCCGTTCACCGAACAGAGTCAATGCTAAATGGACTGGACTTACACAGCTCCTTTCTATCTTACGGAGACGCTCACAGCTCTTTACAACAATCTGTGCCTCATTGACCCATTCACACAGCTCTATACTAGATCTCTACAAAGATACTTGAACAAATCATTCTAAAGGCAACTTCACTGTCAAAACTGCAATATGTACAGGAAATACACAGGATTGAAATTACATTCCTCTCAGACCCCGGTGCAACAACAACCATGTAACATTAAAACATTTCATAAACATAAGCATAAAATGAAATAATAAAAGTATGATACTGTCCTAAATAGTTGTAAAGCAGTATAAAAATATATTTTTTAAAAAGTATATCTATAAAATGAAACGAAGGTCCTGATATTGACATGTGTAGTAAAGTGACAAAGCAGCTTATGAAGTGAATGTACACAGTATGAAGTCTTTGATATTGGTATAGAGGTAAAGTGACATATGCAATAAGGCTGGTAAAATATATATATCTAAATATATATATATATATCTAAATATATATATATATATATATATATAAAAGCCTTTAATTAGATTAATAATTAGATGTGCAAATAAAACTGATTAACCTTTGGAGTCAACCTGATTCAAGATGGCCGCCACAGCTATTGCCACTTTTGCTCAGCTCTGCTCAGATCAGCCTGGATGTGCACTGCACGTCAGGACGGGTTCTGGAGGCGTGTCCAGAATCCAAAATCCTGCTAATGAACTTCTAATGAACTTTAGTTCACCGAGTGAGAGTTCTGCGATGAGTTAAACTCAGAGCAGTCTGCTCCTCAGATAAATAATATTAAATTATTATTTTAAATATGAATGTTTCTGTTCAGTGTCCTGACACGACTTCTGTTGTGACTTGATGCTAAATAAATAAACTGAACTGAATTCAATCTGATGAACCAGATTCTACAAAAACATTTAAAATGACATCTTTTTCTTCATCATCTGATGTATATCTGATGTCATTGTGATATGTGCTTTGTTTCTGTATACACATTTTATTTTAGTCATTTAAAGTGTAATGCTTGGTTTGTGATTTGTTCATCTGTGGGTTAGAATAAAGTTGAACCAAAGTCTCTTCTTTAAACACGTTTGATGGAAATATTCCTGAGATCCAATAATTGTCTTTTTATGATTTTTCAGCTGAGTTAACTTTAATTAAAAGACTATTTAATAAAGTCAAAGTGAAAACAGGATTTTATGATAAAGCCAGCACCGTTTATTTTTATTCTTCACTGATAAAAAAAAACATTATTTTTTTTATACACAAAATAAAATAAAAAAGTTTCCACGCTCCGTCCCAGACTCCCGGTCCTCCCGCCTGCCAGGGCTCGAATCCGGCCTTTGTGAGCAGGCGAGGCCGGGGCTCGAGGTCCGGCCTCGCGGGCTTCAACGTCTCGGCAGCTCGTATGATCCTCCGCGGTGACTCCGCTCGCTCGAATTTTGTCGTCAGTCACCTGGACTTCAGATCTAAACACGGTGTTGTCACTGTTGTTTTTAAAATCTTAAAAATAGATCCAGCCGCTGCTCCGCGTTCTGAGAAATTGCAAATGGAGGATCGGTGAAAGTTTCTGTGATCCAGTGACTCCTCCCCCTGACCAATCAGTGACCTGCATTCACGTTTCGGTCTCGACTCCGCTCACATGGTCCCACAAGAGAACCAGGGACCAAACAAGGTCCCGAATCAGCTAAAAAGTACTGAGGAACAGCGATTTTCTGTGGAGGACTAAAGTCGTGGGCTCAGTGGGAGCAGTGCAAAAGCTCCATACGTGACCTTAAAAACACAGATTTGATTTGATATTTTTCGTCCCCGTCTCTGATCGAGGTGGCTGCTTCTGTGTGTCCTCCTGCTCTGCTCTCTGTGTGTCTGAAGCACCTGGTTCACATCTCCTGATCGTAAATTAAGAAGATTATGGATCTGGTATCGTGGGCGTTCAACTCTATTAATAAGATTTTTTTCAACAAATCAACAAGGTCTTGGAGAACCTGTGTGTCCAGCTGAGACTCACGCTGTGGGGCACGTCATGGACCCGTGGGGAGTGTGGCAGCTGATGTGCCTCTCAGTCCTGTCTCAGGAGGATGTTGAAGATGTTTAAATATTTGGATTTATGATAGCAGGGACTCTGCTCTTTGGCATCTGCGGGGCTCTGTTTTGAAGAAGACATCGCAGCAGTTTCAGCCACAGCAAAGCTTCAGAGTCAGTGTGAAGGTTTGGTCCGTGCAGTAGGAACTCTAAATCAACTGGTTTACGAGCTAAACCATAAGGTGGAGGCGATTTATGAGAATCACAGACCACCTGCGGCTTCTGGGACTGGTCAGCGTGGTGGGATCAACCTTGAGGGAGACTCATGACATGGATCAGTGGAATGGATTCCCACAATTAGGCCATTTTGAACCAGAACGTCCAGATGGACTCAAGGTTGAAAAAAAAATAAAAAATCAGTCTGCCTGAAGAAAAACAACAATCAAAGCTGATCTGAATCTGACTCCCCGACGGCCTCGGAATGGGTCGACTATCAAATTTCTCCTGGGTCATGGGTAACCAAGGACAAAAGCTTCATCTATCGCAACTACCTCCTCACTCATGATTACTCTACTGAATAACACAAACTAACACATAATGAACACATAGTCAATTCAATTCAATTCAAAAATACTTTATTAATCCCAAAGGGAAATTATTTGTTGTTGTAACTCGTTATCCTCATTTCATTAAGAGATGTTATAGATGCTGATGGCTGTAGACAGGAAGGATCTCTTGTAAAGGTCCATCCCACAGTGGATCCTAAGAAACTGGCTGCAGATGCCGTCCGATCCGTCCACCCAGACTCTGCTGGCCTCTCGGTTCCCCCCGGGCTGTTGGACCGTCTAAATGCCGGACAGAACTCCTCCCAGAGCGATGGCCACTCCTCCCAGCGGTCTGCCGAGCTCCTCGTCGCTGTGGACAGTCAACTGTAGGTGCTGATGGACGATCCTGTCCTTCCGCTGTCACGAGCCGTGTTTCCTGCTAGTTCTAGGATCTCAGTGGTCAGGCACTCGAGCACAGCTGGCAGGTAGATGAGAATGCGTCCACAGAACATCCTTTTCAACTCATTTGAGATTTGGGGCTGTAGTTGAGATATTATTTGAGCTTTTGAGATGTTAATCAGCTGCTGTTGGTTGTAGAAAACAGCCTTGTTGCCATGGTTACGCATCATAACAAATGTCCAAAACTAAAAAAGTTTCAGTAAAAATCCTTCCAGCTGCACAGCATCTGATACCAGAGGAAACAATCATCCAAAAAATGTGATTTACATCCAGAAAAAGAGGAATTAAAGTTTCCAAAAGCAAAATCTCAGAATGAAAGTAACAGAGCTGCTCCAACATGCAGCCACCTGGAGCGGCGCAATTCTAGAACATTGTCAAGTCAGATTTATTTATATAGCACATTTAAAACAGAAACGGTTACCAAAGTGCTTAAAAGTGCTCAACATAAACTAAGATAAGAAGAAAAAACTACCGTAATTGCCGGTGTACAAGCTGCTACTTTTCTCTCACACTTTGTACTCTGCAGTTTATATGCAGGAGTGTCTAGTTTATGTTCTTTGTTTTTCATTATTTTAATATGTTTATATTTTATTTTATTATATTTTATGTTTTGTTTTGACAGACTTCCTGCCTCTGACTAACATTTTCCTTCGTCAGAGCTGGACCATCGTGGCTCCCAGTGCCCCGCCCCTCTTGGGGGCAGGTGTTTGTGACAGACTGAATGCCCTCAGGTATCCACATGTACAAAGACTCTTGCTCAAGGTTTCAAAGGCCCTCCCATAACTCCACCCACTCTGTCGTCATGTGACCAGAAGTCTAACCTGAATGACCAATGAGGTACTCTTGAGGACCATCCCCCAAGACGTGCATTAATTTCTTCAGATCGTTCCTGTGTCATTACCTTCTTCTGTGCTTCATGCACAGACCTGTTCATTTGTTCAGCGATAATTGAAAACGCACGGAGGATTTCTTACGATGCAGCTTTCATGTTAAAAGCAATAAATCGGGCCGTCGAAGACGGAAACACAGCTGCCGCCTGTAGGCGTTGCATCAATGTGTCGGGCATTGGAGACACAAAGCAGTCGTGTGGTATATGTTTTAATAAAAGTTTTAAAATTAGCATCACTGACTGAGCATAATGTTCAATAAAGACACAAAGCCTCCATTTTGGTTGTGTATCTTTTCAGGGTCTTCTTAGCACGTTTAGTGGTGGCTAGTAAATAGCTTAAGCGAGCACTACCACCACCAGTTGTTAAGGTGAGTTGGATTCTGGACACGCCTACAGAACTGGTCCTGAAATGCAACGAGGACCGAGCTGAGTCGAGTAGATCCGAGCTGAATCGGGCTGAAAAAAATGGTGGAAAAGGGGAATATGCGAGCGCCCGGGTGTGACAAAGCTAAATGTTTTTGGTGGTAGGAAGCTCTTTAGCCCGTCCAAAAATAAATAAATGAATCCATAAATTAGCCGCAGCATTGCATAAGCTGATGGGTTCAAGGCCTGTGAAAAAAGTAGTGGCTTATAGACTGGAAAGTATGGTAAACTTTTAGTAAATAACTACTGGATGCACATCTACAGCAGACTAACTTCTAGAAACAATCCAATTAAATACGGCTGCATGGCCAACTGGGCTGACAAACCCCCAAATTGCTGGAAGTCAGTCCATCTTACAGCCATCGTCCTAAAACTGGGTGTGGTAGTAGGTGAGAGGATATATTACCACTGGTTAATGTTTACAGCCAGTCCAATCAAGAAGGCTGCTGCAGCTAATGGACTTTACTCAATACAAAAATGCCTCTAACTCAGACAGTTGTGCAGATATTGAAGTACCATTTAGAGTTGTAGTAGCCGAGTCATTCACAAGACAAACAACACCATAAACGTTGGAGCTAAACGGCTACAACTCCTCCAGGACACTTCAACCTGGCAGTGGGTGAAATGCATCCCTTCAAGAAATGCTCAGCCTTTTCCTGTTCACTGTTAAACCCGTGACCTGTTTGTGTGTTTGGTGGTGGTCAATGATCCACGTATCAGCATACGTACCCAGAATCCTGTCTCTGCGCTGCAGCTTGAAGGTGTCTTTGCCCCGGCAGAGGTTGTAGATGAAGTAGCCAAGCTGGTCGACCTGCTCCAGGCGCTCCGTCACGATCATCTCCTCATGGATCAGGTAGGACTGCGGCAGGTAGGTGCCAGCCTGCACGGAAAAACACAACAAAGGAATCAGAAACCGATGTTTTACATTCTTTCATTCACCAGAGATAGAGTGATAAACGCCACCATCATGGCAGCCGGGACACTGAGCTTCACTGTGTTTCATACGAGGTCACACAAAAATATACTTTTTATTGAGCACGCATCAGGATAGTTTAAAAAGAACCTGAGGATTTCTGGAACAGCTTCTGCGTCTGAAGAATCTAAATCGTAAACTAAAAACCATCTCATAGAATTCTGCTTTTGAATTTACTGTTGAGTTGCTCCCTTTGTTTCTCCAAGTGAAAGAACGTTACATTCATTCCTCAGAGTTTGGTTTAATATCGAACCGTTAGGTGGAAGTTTACCTTCACGTTGATGAGCAGATCCAAAAAGTCTTTGGGAGGCATGACGATGGAGGTGTTGAGCGGGATGACGTAGCACTTGTTCAGACTCAGATCCAAGTAAGCAGTCAGCCTCTGAGGAGAAGGAAGAACGTTACGGAGCAGAAGAAATGCCGAGCACACGACAGCAGACGATCAGATCAAAGCTGAAAAACACGTACTGCTCAGCAGAGAGGAGGAACCGTCACTAAAACACTCTGCACAGTGACCCAACACGTCACGCAAAGATAAGAAAGGACTTAGATTTTTCTGTTTTATTGTTATTATACATGAGTCCAACAGATCTGGGTCTTATTTTTCTCTAGATAAAACAGTGTAAATGATTTGTTGTTGCTGCAGGTGCAGCTCAGTCCTTCACTACATGAGAAACTGAAGAAATGTGAAAGTTATGCACAAATCCCAGCTCAGAGTTCAGAAGTCACCGTGTTTCCACTCGTTACATTAGATGGTCCATGGAATCAGAGTTTAAATTCAACAAGCACAGTTCTGGGCAACATGCTGCTGAGGCAGCTTTTAATCCAGGTTCATTTCTGTGAGCGAGTTTAAAACTGGCCTTTTGAAACAATGCAGAGCCGTCTCCAATCGTCTGCTTTAAAAACTCTGATGGAACGGTTTTTAATGTAACCCGTTCTGAAATGCTCAATAAAGTTTGATTGTTCTTCATGCCACACTTTGGTTTACTCTAACAAAGTAAAGTCAGGTCCTCTGGATGGATAAAAATAACAAATAAATTGTTGTCAGTCTGACGAAGTCTTGGATAAAAGATGAAATGTTTCAACAATTAATTTATTTATTTTTATCCATCCAGAGGACCTGACTTAACATAGTCAGATGTTTCTACCTGGATTATTGAGCAGCATCAGGACACGTGGGTTTACATTCAGGTCTTTTCAAGCGAGTGGTTATGTCCAGTGTGCAGCCGGCTACATATCCTCACTGTTTAACACCGTCAGCTTTCACTTGAAACACTTTTATTCCTCCGGTGTCACCGAGAAACTAAGATGTTCCCAGAAGGCAGGCATTCATGACGGGCGCGCTCATCTGTGCTCTCCAGGAGCAGTCGTTGTGGTCTCGCTTCTCAAAGTGTCGTGGTGGTCCACACACCATCGCTGTGATGGAGCTTGGGTTTCAATCGAAGCTGCGTCTGTTCGGTTCAGGAGCGTTCAACACTCTCCTGGTGTGTGCAGTTTGATGTGTCTCACCCGCTGGAAGTCATGCACTATGTCTGCTGGATCTCCATCCTCAAAGTCAGGCACGGGCACGTTGATGAGCTCCACTTGGTCTGGCACCAGAACCTGGACCCGCTCCTGCAGCTGTCGCAGACGGAAAGCATTGGGCAGGTCCACCTCCACCTGAGGAGCAGCCAAGGGTTGGAGGGTTTCAGTCTCCGAACACTCCGTGCACTCAGTCAAAACAAGACTTTTCATCTTAAAGCAGGAAAACTGGTACGAAACTAAACGTTTGCTCTAAACTAAACTTAACTAAAGCCCAGACAAATGTCAGTAGAACTTGTGCTGTTAGGCTAAAGTTAGTCCGTTTAAACAAACCTGCTCTTCCTCGTAGAGCATGAAGTCTTCCTCTCTGTAATTCACTCCACAGACGTACACCTGGTCGTCCTGCTTTGAGTACAGAAAACACAAGAAGACACACGTCACTGGAAATACACACAGAACTGAACACTCCTGGATTTAATCCTGTCTTGAACAACTCCATCTTCTTCCTTGTGAAATGGGCCTCATCTACTCTGTTGTTGTAGGGAACAGGTCTCTGGTGTGAACGAGCCCTCGAGGCTCAATGGGAACTAACCTGGAGAAATAAAGGGTGAATGAATGAAAAAGTAAATAAGATCTCTGTGGTGCTCCCGCTTGGCCGTTACCCTGACCTGTCTGACTACCAAACACTTACTGCCTCTCATGGCATTAAAGGGGTATTTTGGCCATTTTAAAGTGTCTGTTAAAAACTTCTGAACAATTAACATCTTACCTGCTGTAGATACCTCTGTAAAAGACCCACTTATGTGGAATTAGGAAGTACATCTGTCAGGACTGAGCAGTTGTCAGAGGTTGTTCCAAATGCAGCTAAAACACAACGCTGGAGTCCAACAAGAACTCCAGTCTCTAAGCTTCACAGAGGGTCGCTTGAAAACTAATGTAGAAACCTTTACAGAGGTCTGTGGTTGTTTGGAAGCACAAATGTGACAGCAGCAGATAGCTTTAGCACTTCTGGCACAGTCGGGGACACTTCCAGCAGAAGTTTCATATTTCACCTGTCATGAACAAATGTGTAATGTGCAATGGATCGTATGAAGTTTAAATCAGTGTTTGCATGAATCCCTGAAGTTTAGGAGTTACTCTAAAAGAACAAAAATCCAGTTTGGTTTTGGTTGCGTTCAAATTAGCCATTAGCTTGTTGGTCAACAGAGACTTGAACTGGATTTCTATAAACTAAGACAAATAATATTTGTTTAAAACATTTTCCACAGAGCTCTACTTCAAAAGGCCTAAATATTCTAGTCATTTATTACACTATAATAAATAAACTCCACCTGCGCAGTCTGTCCCTCTGAGCTTTTTAGATTTTTGTGCTAAAAGAAAAGTTTTCAGAGCCCAGCTGGACCGTACCTTCTTCCCAAGACCCTCTCCCTTTTGACAAACTGGTCTTGTGTCACTGCCTTACAGTGCAGGGCACCTCTTGTGCTCAGGGGGCTCACCTCCAGGACATAGTAGCGGTACAGATAAGCTCCTGCAACCACCACACCAGACAGCATGAGGGCCAGACCCAGGTACATGCACGAGCACCAGGTCCGAGACTGGCGCCGCACCAGCAGAGCAGCCTCTGTATCCTGCAGGGGGAGAAGAAACATCAGGCTGTGGGACACGACGGATTATTGTCAACTGTGTGGTCCAGGGTCAGTCAGCCTGTTTACAGTGAACACTGGGAGCTGTGGTGCGTTACGATTCTTTTTCACATGTCCAAACCTGATTCAACATCAGTCACTTTGAGACAGCACAGCTGCATTATGCTGTTTGTGTATTTTCATCTTCTCTTTACTGAACCCTCAAGAATTTGTGTATGTAGCAGAAAACCTTCCTTTTTTAAATCTCTAGAGTGTGGACTGTTCTGAAAACATCAACAAAATGCAGCTAAATATTTCTGTCTTCATTCAGAAAATGCTCATTTTGGATGAAAAAAAATGTTTTACCATACCACTTTATTTATGCAGCACTTAAAACCAAAGTGCTGTACAGGCAGAACAACAGGTAACACACAAAGCAAAATACAAAATGAGGTAAATCAGAATATAGACAAAAAAACGATGCAGATAATGACGACAAACCAGTGTGGAGCATACAGGATCAAAACACAGATCATCTGGTGTTGAAAGCTCCTGAATAGTAGTGAGTTTTTAAACGGGACTTGAAAACCGAGAGGGAGGGGGCCTGTCTGACAAGCAGAGGTAACTCGTTCCAGAGTCTTGGTCCTGCTACAGAGAAGGTCCTGTCCCCTCTGCGCTTAAGACGAGTTCCTGGAACTGTGAGGAGCAACTGGTCTGCTGACCTCAGGGAGCGTGGTGGGACATACAGTTGTAGCAGATCAGAGAGATGGGGGGTGGGGGGGCGACACTGTTCAGTGATTGGTAGACATACATGAGTATTTTGAACTGGATTCAAAAGTGAACCGGTAACCAGTGCAGTGAGGCCAAAACTGGTGTAATGTGCTCTCTTTTGCCTGTACTGGTTAAAAATCGAGCTGCTGCATTCTGGACCAGTTGTAGTCGTTGTAGTCAGTTTTCAATAGGTTGATCAACTACTGAATTCAATAAAAGGTTAATAGTGTTAAAAGCCATCCCAAGTATTGAGACGTGAGAACATGGAGGGTTGGGGTTCGATCAGACGGAGTCTGGAGACCCTCCAGAGACAGACGGACAGGGGGCAGGGAGTGACGTGACGCCACAGAAACTCTGTGTGAGAAAACAGACGGTTTCTTTGGATCAGATGGATGAACTGCACAAGATACTGGTGTTCTGCACAAGATACTGGTGTTCTGCACAAGATACTGGTGTTCTGCACAAGATACTGGTGTTCTGCACAAGATACTGGTGTTCTGCACAAGATACTGGTGTTCTGCACAAGATACCGGTGTGCACCAACAATCGCTTCCAGTACTAGCCCGGACACGTCTGCTTCAATCTGCTGCTAAAATCCAAAACACTTCTCAGGCTGGAAACATATTACATAAGACTTGTTTTGTGTTTCCTTTAACTAAAACCACTTCCTGTTTATTAAAAAGGGTGTCTGAAAACAAACTGTGGGGCATTAATTATTTATTAATTAATCCCCCCCCCCATTCATTTTAAAAAGTGTTGTTTTTCTACCCCATGTCATTTTGCACTTATGACTGCAGTTTAGATAAAGCGGATCATGAAAAGTAATAACTGTCTAACATGTCTAAGGTGCGTGCGGGATAATTTGTAGTTCTTCCAACAAAAATTCATATTATTCACAACAGCTGACAATTTGAAAAAGATGCATTAAAGCAGCGATAAATGCTGATTAAGGGAAGCTTAATTTATCCAGAATATTTGAGATATTGAGAGCTTTCCCTTGTGCAATATCCAACATCACCATTCCCAGTAGGGTTGGGCATAGATTCTCGAGAATCAATTGGAACAGGACTAGGGCTGGGTACCTTTCTAAAAATTTGGTATCGGTACTCGTACCTTCACTACGGTGTCGGTTCTTGAACGGTACTTTTTTCGGTACCAATTTTATAATTAATATTAATTCTAACAAGAAGAAAATTACGTTACACATTACAGTACAAATCTTGAGTTTTATTTTTTAATTTTGGTATTTTTCCATTCCAAGCAGTTTTCTTAGAAAAAAATAAATAATTTCCAGTTCAAAAGACCAGTTTCAAACCAGTGACACGTCAGTGTCTAATGCTCACTGTTACACACTGAGGACCTTTTCACTGAACAGTTTTTCTTCAGAAACATCAACATGTCTGTTTTCTCTGGACACAAACAAGATGCTCCTGGCTGATGGTGTCTCCAGCAGTAGAACATGTTCACTCTGAGGCTGTAGATGATGATTGTTGCACACACAGATACCTGGTTGTCAGTTTGACATATTGTCCCTCACATCCCACCAGCAGGTCACTGGGTTCACCGAGGTTAGGGTTGTTGCAGACTTCTGCACCTCTGTGTCTCTTCCTGAATCTTCTCTGTGGTTCTCTGGGGTTTAGGGCTCTGATCATCTCCCTAATTGACATGAGAACACAAATCATCAACAATAACATGGTTGTGTTATTATTGCTCTAAAAACACTATCTAGGCTGAGAGATAAAAGTTTAACTGTCAACAATATCCTTTACAGTTTACTTACCTCCACCATGCAGCCTCCACTGTAGAAAAAGGAAGCAAACTTTAAACAGCAAAGTTTGTGACTGTCCTGTGACCCCCACCTCGCTGTTCTTTTGTCTGTCTCTGTCCTCACATCAGGGTCAGAGTCTCCTGTGAGGAGAACATGAACAGTGAACATTAGTGAACTGTTTAAGCAGTTGACCGGATGGATAAACACATTTTTACAAGCTAAGCTTTATCTGTTACTGTCAATCTTTAGTTAGCTTCTGATTTTAGCTAGCTACATAGATAGCCATAAAATAAAGCTACACACTAATAGCTTAAAGTTAGTGCTATATGGATCCTACTTTAACTCATCGCGATGCATGGATTCAGCTGCAGTAATGTTAACAAACGTAAACTTACCAGCTGAAATCCCAGACACAGCTCCGTCCTCGGTGCGAAGCGGAGTCCTGTCATGGAGAGGTTGAATCAGGCCGGTCAGGTTCTAACACTCACAGGCTGACTTTAACGCTGAGAGGAGGAGGCTGCGGTCCTCTTTTCTTGCAGACAAACACGGAGCAACTGTCCACTTGTAAATTGAAGCTGTTTGACGCCACACACACTGCACACGTGAACCCCATCTGTGGACGTAACCAGCGCCATAGACATACGGCTGTATGGCAGCTCTATACAGGTCTGGGCGTAACCACGTATGTCTGTTTGGACCAGTCTTACACAACTTTTTCACTTGAAGCACTCGTTCACAAGAAATGCCACAAAGTCACTCAGTCCTATTACCTAAAATTAACTACGGTGGCATTTATGCCAAACAGACATTTTCAGTTAACTTATTAATATTAAGTAATAAATATCAACAAAATGTCCATTTCAATAAAGTCAAATAACGATAATGTCCACATTTTCAAAGTACAGGTATGGTATATAAATGAAAAGCTGCTTCCTCCATGTTGAAACTTTTCTGTGAACAAGTTATGGTGAAAGTGTTGGTGGTTGCTCCAGGACTTTCATGAAACTTCCTGTTGCTGTTCCTGTGGACTGGCTGCACAAAGCAGGAACCACCACGTGCAGGAACGACTCCCTCCTGCTGTAAAACGCTTTGCTCGAGTGTTTCCTCTGTAACTTTAAAGAAAATACAAGGTGGAGCTCTCTTTTCTGCAGCTCTTTGTTGCACTGGTTAATAAAGTTTTAGACAAGCTACAGCGTAGCTCTGCTCTGTTGTGTCAACAAACAAAAGTACACTGGAGGCGTCAGCATCCTGAAATTCATCCAGACTTCAAGTCACTTCTGTACTTTCCTGTTTGGTCAGTATGTTGCACCAACAAAGCATGTTTCACCACGTCTGCAGTCTTTGGAAGTCGACCAAAACAAAGTACAAGTCAGCACTTTGTAACTTGAAAACAGACGGTCAGCTCGTTTCAACCTTCAACTCATCGTAAAGGAAACAAGAACTCCGGCATGTGAAGCTTCCAGGAAGCTCACGAGCGAGGTTGTACACAGATAAAAAGAAGAACAAAAACAAAACGGCAAAGAGTGAGGCAGAACAGAATGTGGGTTAGAGGTTGGCCGTTTGACTAATGGCTGACAGAAAAACACTGAAAGGGGAAATGTCCCGAGGCTCGGCCAGCTGTAAAGCCTGGGTCACCTCTGCTGAGAGGCTGTCCACCTCACTCATGCTACTTTTAACGTCCGACAAAAGGAACTAGCAGCAGAACAAGTAATGAGCAGGGGATCTGCTCTTGCTGACAGATGAGAACATTAAAGAGTTTATTTCCAGGATGCCTGGCACAGAACTGTGGGTTTCCTAGCAGCTAAGGCCTTGTTCATACCTGGCACTACATCCATCTTGGTTGACCCACCTGTAAATGGTCAGCACTGAATGAGCGTGTTCACACCTGGCAGTTAAATCAGAACTAGGCATGTGCAGTGACTGGTGAACATTAAAAATCTAGGTAAAACGGGTACATTTGAAGCTATAATGCAACTGTCATGGTGGCTTCACTGTGACTAACATCAGTACAGTGGTCCCTGGCTACACCTGTGTGCTGCACCTGTGTGCTGCACCTGCGAGCTGCACCTGCGAGCTGCACCTGCGCGCTGCACCTGCGCGCTGCACCTGCGCGCTGCACCTGCGCGCTGCACCTGCGCGCTGCACCTGCGCGCTGCACCTGCGCGCTGCACCTGCGAGCTGCACCTGCGCGCTGCACCTGCGAGCTGCACCTGCGTGCAGCCCACACTGCAGGAGAAACTTCCTCCTGCAGCTGCTCCTCTGTCCATCTCCGTTCTGCAGCAGAGAAGTGGGCGTGGCCGAGAGCGCAGCCGTGCCAGAGAGCAGAGTCCATGAGACGCTGTGCTCTTTTAGACCGTTTAGAAACATTGATTAGAATATTGCAAGAGTGTGGGAAGGCTTTAAATGGTAAATGGACTGTACTTATATAGCACCTTTCTATCTTAACAGGATACTCAAAGCTCTTTAC